CAAAATGACCATTCATTTGTAAGATAGACAGATAGATACATACTAACTCTATCAAATATTGTTGTTGTTATATATTGTTTCTTTACTTACCCATTTATTTATGTATTTATTCCGTTGAAAGTGACTATGAGAGAATAAACAGAGGAAAGTAAACAAAACTATGTGAAAGGTGATTTTTACTACTATCGCACTGTCCTCGTTTCTGTTTAATTTTTGTCATAGATGTACTAATGGATTTAAGCCTAAATGAATTCAGCGACTTTAGGGATTGACTTCTTACCAAGGGGACTGACTGTCTTGTGTTGAGTTAGACTAGATGAAGACGCTGACAAACTCCAGAGTCTTTTGAATATCTTGACCAGTAGCAATCTTCAAATTCTTGGCATGCGATTCCCTCCTGCTGTCAAATGGAAGATGATGCTACACGACTCCTAGCTGGCTTGAGGATAGGCATAAGTGAAGTGATGGCTGGGCGTGTTGATCACTTCACTTATTTGAACAGTTGAATCAGCCAGTTCCAATCTAATACCAACAATTCACAGTGCACCATAATGGCGAGCCACCTAGCATGGTGGCCACATTGCAAGCTTGACTGATAGAATTCAGTCTGCAGCGAAGATAGCACTAGACATATTACACTAGTTACTGACTAGTGTGCAATCTAAAATATCCCATACAGACCTACAGGAGGTCAGTCGCGAGCCTGAATAGCTCAGTGGTAACGTCTCTGACTGCAGCACTGGGTGATGTGGATTCGAATCTCAGAAGGGACATGAGTTCCTTCAAGGCTGCAGATACACCTTGCTGACTGGTGAGTGCCAACTAGCACGAAACCTAGGTCCAAGGCTTCCTGTGGCCGATTGCCTCCAACCATCTGATAACAACAGTTCCAATGGGTTGATAGCTGACGAAATCTCAACATGGATACCGAAGTCTCGTCTAGCATATACCCACATACACCATGTGGCTTAGTAGACGTGATATCCGGTTGCCTACATATCAGAGGGTGTGTATACCGCTCAGCAGTTCGTCCCGTCCTGCTTTATGACTTTGAGACATCGCCGTCGTAAGTGGGAAATATGGAAAGGTTAGCTGTGTTTGGTCATAGGTGTCTGCGTTCAATCTCCCATGTTAGGTGGTGGTATAATAGGGTGAGTAATATTGAGGTCAGGCGTCGGTCGAGCGCTAGGTAGATGGGAGGCCGAATCAACGACGAGGTTGTGAAGCACCTATATCGACTTAGTGAGATGGTTAGGATATGTGTTACGCATGCGTATCTAGCCATTGATCGCTTTCCTCGATGGGTAATGTTAGCTGACTAACAAAAGAAACGAAAACTTTGCTTCATCAGTTAGTGAAATCCATAACACTTAGTTTGAGGCACCCGTCCACGTTTGCAAGGTCTAGACTGGGTGGCTAACTGGTTGGTTGTGGTCTTCAGGATGGTAAGAACCATTGGCGGTTGGAGACAAATGGTGATGTGGCTGAAAATCCTCGTTCTCGATGATGACTCAGGTGCATCCACTCTTTGTGATGTATAATATCCAATAAAACCCTATTGTTCTTCCATATTACTAGTCTTTTTCCCTCACTCACACTTCCGTTTATTATCCCTCTTCTGAACTTCTCTTAACTCTCTTCTGTTGGTTTGTGTGGCACAAAAAGGGAGTGTAGGAACTGGAACTGCTGCCCTTCTGTGGAAAGTTCTATGTTGAAACCAGTCAGATCTTTACTGTAAAACTTATAATTCTTAATCTTTTAACTTTTCTTCCTTTTTAGTTAACAAATTTAATTGGTGTCGTATAATGATACTACTTTCCTAGAGTTGTATTTGAATCATTTGCTTCTCCGAGTGGGACATAGGTCATCAAGCCTGAGCTTTTAAGTTCCTTTCTCAGGGTTGTTAGCCTCACGTTCAACATTCCATCTCTTAACCGGACTTACTACCGACTAGGAAAGGTTTAACAGTGTGTCGGCCAGGAATCGAACCCCGGTCCACGTTCGTGGTGTTGGTGAGTATTATTATTCTACCACTGAACCCATGATGCTCAGGGGTGGTGACTTAAGTTCATATTTATGATTAATGTTTATTTTTGAATCCTGGGAGTTTAGACGGTGAACTAGCCCTAATCTGAGTTGTTTACAGGATTTCATCATGAGCTGATATCGGTTAGACAACCATTGAAAAACCACCCCGGAGTGCTGGATAGCTAATTGTCTCATTCTAGTTTGGGACTCTTCCACAGAACAGTACGCACCCTATCGCAGGTGGTTCGATCGCAGGACAGTACCTTTTAGATACAAGGCGAGCGAGCTCGTTGACCATTCATCCACAGGGACCCGATACAATGGCCCCAGCTAACCCATCAATTCCAACTTCTGCCAGTAATTCACGACATAGTGCGACTGACCCCAGCCAATGTCATCCGTGGCGATTATTTGTTCTCATACCCGACCTGTTGTACCCCTCTGCTGAGTTGTGTCAATCCTGGTACCCTACTGATGAGGTTGGCGGTAAAAATGGATGAGTGAAACACACCCCTCGATCTGACTGACGAGCTCTACATGTTAACGTGAGTAGTACCAAGCTAATTTTATATCAACCAGCGGTAGTCTATACCATCATACGATTTCGTTTACTTTTTTGATTGCCATTTTTATAGTATTCAGCCAATGATCACACACACATTATGATAATCAGAATATTTTCAGTTTTTAGAAGAAACCGTCAACTTGTGTGTAATTTGTTGTTAGTAACAAATTTAATCATAGACATTGTTTATTTCGTAATAGGTATTTTCAAATTAACCGTCAGTTTATTTTGTTATTGTTTACAATAACTTTCATCTGAGTGTGATTCAATTTTCTATTCTGTTCCTTTTCTTCTTATTGAAAAACTTTTTCTTCTTTTTTTTTCTTCCAAAAAATAAATTGTTTTTGTCGATACTTGAATGTCTACTGCATGGTGTTGTTATGTGCAGCACGAGGTTTAATTTTTGTAGATAAAGATTGTAGAAAGATTACTTTGTCGATGTGAAAGTGTGTCTCTTAGCGCTTGTCTGTTTTTCAAGTTTAACAGTTTGGAGACAAGTTTAAACAAGCAAATGGTTGATGTGTATCTATATCTACTCTGTTGATCTGATTAATCTGTCAAACTTCCTAACTGTTTGTGTTGCAGTACTAAATTACACGACTTGAAAACTTAAATTTATTATTATTTTTATTCAAAATGTTTTCTATTCTGCTGAACAGAGCCGCTGTCCAAACAATCTTGTGATATCGGTCATACCTATAATAGTAGTATTGTATGAGAAGTAGGAGTTTCCTGTATTTGATAACGATAACGGACTCTAGTGGAACTCGGCTTTCAAAGTTGATTCTGTCCACATATATCAATGACTCTGAGTGGTGCGTCGGTCGGTAGACATATATATCATCAGCATCATATCCCAATAGGCTTTGGACTTCATCCTATGAAATTTCTGACGGTATTAAGGGAGAAAACAGTGTAGAATATTGGAGTATTTCAGTTGGACACTAGTCAGAAACTAGTGTAATGTGTCTCTAGTCCTATCTTTGGTGCAGACTCAATTCTATCAGTCAAGTTTGCAATGTGGTCATCATACCACTAGGTGGCTCGACATCCCGATACACTGCACTGTGAATTGTTGATATTAGATTGTTGGAGGCAATCGGTTGTGCTAGTCGACACTCACCACTCAGTGAGAGAAAGGCGTGTCTGCAACGTTGACTGCAGAACTAAATGACGCGGGCTCGAATCTCAGAAACGACATGAGTTCCTTCAATACACTTTTCAGTCATTCTGAAATAGGCCTGTAACAGTGCTCCATTATAGATAGGATTTTATTTTGATAAATCACAAAGTGTTATACAGTAATATTAACTGATGATGTTTCGAGCACAAACTATTGCCGCTCATAATCATATCAAGTTACTCACACAACTTTTTTCATCATTTATATACATGCATATATAGTGGAGTTATATTCTACTACAGTGCCCAAGTTTTATATTAGTAACAGTCCTGTTAGTTAAAAGTGCTAACGAGAGACTGCGTCTTCTATATAACTTCATTGAAATCCATTGCTTTAATTTCATATCATTTTTTGTTTATTGTGTGTATGTATTACACAGTGAAACAGCATCATTATTTACTGGATGACGTTTCATCATCAGTAGTACTCTCATAAGAAGAAGGGATCTCGGGAGCTTTACAGAGAATTCCTAACAATTCAGGAATAAAAGTGGCTGGTAAACAAGCCACTCACAAACTCAATCACAAACACACTTTGTCGGTTAAAGGATCCCTCATATGGAACCGATTATCTAATAAAACGCCTGCAATGATTGTCTAGTCAAATAAATGAGTGAAGGTAGTAGGACGGGGTCAGTCAGACTAGTGGAACACAAAAACACAAAAAAGCAGAATCTAGACTAGGTGACCCTAATAAGATGAGAAATCTGGAGAATACTTCAGCCACAGATGATAGCACTACATGCAATTACACATATACATGCACACACACCATAAAAGAGCATGGGATTACATGACACTTGTAAGATCTAACAATAACAGGGTGATGGAGGTGGAGATATTGATAACGGCGGAAGCTTCATTCACCATAGAATCAACTGAATGAAAATACGTGTAGTAGGAGTGATTGAACACCTGATCAGTCGGACATCTGGAGAGTTCTACCACCCACCTATCTACGACGAATAGGCAGGAATAAAGGAAACTATATAAAACGAAAGTTTCGAAGTTGTGTGGTTATAATTGATGGCATGATTATAAACAATGAAAGATTGTTATATATGTCCAAACCAAGTTCACTTTTAACGGTTTGAAAAAATTTGGGCATTGGGTATATGATATTCATTATAAATAAAGGTTTTTGTATTTCCCAATGAATGAAAAACAAAACGATATTGTTTTTACTGACGTTTCGCTATTTAATGCTAATAGCTTTATCAAAGTATTATTAAACCGGAATTTACAAAATCTCTGCATTATTATAATGAAAGATTGTGTTCGAAGTGCCATCCAGTAAGCAATGCTGTTTCACTGTGAGTGATATATCCATCTAATAAACAAATTAATATGGAATTACATACACTACCACAGTGTCTAAGTTTTCCACCTATACATTCATTGCTATATGGGAGGCGATCTTGCCCAGGATAATAACCGCCAGATTCAACTCCAAAGGAAGGAAAGTGTCAATTATACAATGCTATGCAACGACAAACAACGCAGACCTCGAAAAGAAAGGAGAATTCTACAGACAACTGCAGACAACAATGGACAATACTCCAGCTGGTGACATCAAAATACTAATGGGAGACATGAACGCCAAACTGGGATCAGATAACACAGGAAGGGAACTCATCAGGGGTAGAGAAGCTCTCGGAGAAATGAATGAAAACGCTTCATTGCTATGATTTTATATTTGCATATGATGTCGATGGTGATGTAATTTCGTATATTTTTTCTTAATGTAATTCTATTTCCATAAATCTGAAGATGGTGAAATTTGCTTTATATTCTCTTGTGTATTTTTCCCCTTATGACATCACATGTACTTACTATTCAAGATGTTTCCCTTGATTCATTGTTATCCATTGTGTTTGAATTGATTAGAAACAGTTGACCTTCTTGTGTACTTTTTTATTTTCCACTTGTTTTTATCAGTTAGTTAGTTAAATTATCTTATTCTCTTTAAGTATCTGAAGGTGATTCACACTGAAAGCTGAATTAGTTAACTGACTTTGGGAACTTTCCATTATTGGATAAATTTCGTTTTGATAAAGTCTCACAGTGTTTTACAGTAATGTTTACTGATGACGTTTCGAGCACAATTTATTGCTCATAATCATATCAAGTTAATCACACGACTTCCTAAATTCATTTATATAATTCCGTTGTTTTTCACTTGATTTGATTGGTAGTATTATTTTCCATATCTCGGGTATGAGTGATGATTCATTCCTATTGCATGTGTTGGGTGTAGATTCGATGAACAAGGATTCAGTAACCAATCTCTCTCTCCACCTACCTAGATTACTTTTTAGAATTTTAACCCTCTCCCGCTCTATTGTGTGTTAATGCATGTAGTGCAATCGCCGAGCTCTATTTTAAATTACTTATCTTCTCTGGGTCAACCATTCTTACCTTAGCTAAATTCTTATGTTCTGACAATCTGACTACCCCTGACCTACTAGTTTGACCTATGTAGTTGACCTCACTCACAGTCATTGCAGGGTATTTTGTAAATTATATTATTTTGTCTAATTGGCTCAACTGGGTCCTTCAACCTACAGAGCTTGTCCCTGAGTGAGTTTTTAGGTTTAAATGCCACCCTAATTTCTGCTTTATTAAGAATCCTACGTAGGGTCTCAGATGTCCCCTCTTTATATGGTATAACTGTAGATGACATGTATTCTCTCTTATTTATGTTATTATTACTAGTTTCACAATTATTTTTATTTTTCTTTTGGCGTTTTTCAATCTTCCTAATGAATTTTAGAGGATAGTTATTTAACACCAACGCCTCTTCTATCTGTTTTATTTCATCAATTAGGTTTTTTTTTTGTGCTACTTAGTGCCATTGCTCGGTTTGTTAAACACTTATCTAAGCCTGCGTTAACAGTTAAAGGATGAGATGAATTAAAATCTAAACATCTATTAGCAGACCGTGTTGGCTTTTTATAAACACTAGTGTGTGTAGTTTGCCTTCTTCTCTTCGTTTTATTTTATAATCTAACATAGGTAATTCTCCTTGTTCATTTTCGGCTTCAAATGTGAATTTCATTCCCTCCACTAGTGAGTTTATGTGTGTCAAAACAAAATTTACCCATAATGGAATTACACACTACCACAGTGCACAAGTTTTATTAATATATCAATGACTGTGGGAACTTTGTCGTTTAAATTAAACTTCCATCTATCTATCTCTCTCTCATTGATACGTTCTTATTAGTATTATTATTAAAACAGGTGAGAAACCGTGTCGCGAGTCTTTGACGTGTGAAGTCTCATCCACATGGTAGTGGAGAGTAGTGTCAGGAATCACCTTCCCATGGTTGGTGGTGACCAAAAACAGGTTCATACACCACTTGATCCGTTGGGATTCTGGAGTCGATATACACCTTAGGCTTGGAATCAGGGTTTTCCAGCTTTCCTGAGTATATCAACATGTCTACTAGTTCACTTGTAGGCGGTAATTGTTCGCATTCGCTACGTGAATCATCACTGACTGCATTTGTCAGATAGAGATGAATAAGCATTATAAACAATATATCCTAGTATTTGAACAAAGCAAGAACTACAGTTTTAGCAGAATAAAATGGTACCATCTTTTATTTCGTTGCCTTCTCGTCAGCTGCTTACAGGGCAAAGACATTATTAAATGTATCTACAAAAACAATTTTAACATACTTGCACAGAGTTCATTTTAAACAAAAATCAATCGATCAATATACGCATGCACTAATAATACATACACATATATATATGCAATATTAAACACAATTCCGAAACAATAATAATCATACACAATGAAAACTTTTCAGCATCTCGCATTCGGATGAAAAATATCTGGTTACCAGGGCAAGGAAAGACTGATAACCGCTTCTTTGTGAACGCTCAAATCAGGTTTCAGGCGCTTGATGGAAATGGCTTCAGCAAACTTAAGGAGAATTGAGCTCTTTTGCTTATTGATAATTTTGAACGACTTTTCGACGTCCACCTCATGACCCGTGTCGAGGAGATGCCTGGCGATGGCACTGTTTAAAGCATTGGTTCCCTTTAGACGTAAGCTTTTTGGTACATGTTCAGAAAGTCGTAGATATGCTCTTCTTTCTGTTCTTCCAATGTAACTGCTCCCGCAGATACAGATCCTAGTATTGTTGTACAGATTTTACTTCACTTTTACACCAGTATACAATTAAGCAACGATTGCGTTCTTGTCTCCCGCCAAATGGAGAATAATTCGAGGAAAATAAACGGTTTCAATGTTTACTAGCATTGATAGGCTTTATAGGTCACTATACACCGAGAGTAAACAATAGACACCAAAGTCAAATGACCTTGAAATAGCCAATCAGATTCTCCTAGGTGAAAAGTGGTACTTAATTTACAAAACAGTGTATCTACGATATGTATGTAATAAAAATTAATCATATAGGATATATATCTCTAATATGCTACATAAACTGGTCCCAGATTCTCATCGAAGTGGTTTGTAGACATAGCAAACCAATGCGTTCTGTATTTCTCCAGTTAGCAGATACTGGTTGCATATACGCAATGTATTACTAAGGGAGAGCTTTGATTTTGAGAAGTAGGTGTTTAAAAATATCACCAATTACTTACGACTTACTAACTTATACAGACTTCCTCACGTGAAGTGGTTGCATCTGAATGTATAACCATCAGAAGCCCAGCAATATTTTTGCAGAGTCATTATCCCTCCACATATGCATGTTTTATTCCTCCCTATCAACACACTTTTCCACAGAGAAGTCAAAAATCAAATCTAGGAGACAATTTCGAAGAGGATTACGATTAGCAATCATTTGTAGTGCTGAGCTATCTGATTGGTCAAATCAGATCTAGGTCATTTGACTTTGATGTCTATTGTTTACTCTTGCCCACAATACATTTGAACTTAGAAAAACTCACGTTGAATAGGCGGTAGACGATGACAGTCACCTCATCTTTTAACTCTTACAGACATTGTTGACTTCCTCTAAGGCATGAATCCAGAAAATTAACCTTTTGTTCTTGGTTATAAAAGACATTTTTCCCTTCACATATGTAGAAACTACAAAGTTGATTTAGGGTTCAAATGAACTGTCGTCAAGATTTGACAGAATAGTTCTAAAATATTTGGGTTGTCGAGTCACCTGACAACTCCAGTAGGTCGAATAAAGCAGCTCAATCTTCAGAAAGAAGACAAAGCAATAAGTCCGACAGGGTGCTTCTACTAAACTCTAATCCTTAACACCATAATTTTGAAAATACGTCTAATCATAAAATTCTAGATGCTGACAGTTTGAACAGACATGAAGGCGTGATGTTAGCTGATGCATAGGAAATCCTAATTAATTAATAAAAAATGGATATGTATCACTAATTATTAATACTTGGTCAAAATTCTCGACTGTCCATATTTTCTTAAGCAGTCGTTAAGACATGTCTTACAACTGTTTACCCACACACACACATACACTCTGTTTAAAGTGTTTAAAGGTAGACCAATATTTGTATGTCCAAGGTCAGATTTTGATCACAGCTCATACAATTTTGTTTATTATACTAGTTGATACTTGTTGAATGACTCATGATTGGACAAAGTTTTTAAAAACAAGTGATGTTTCCTTTTATATATAAAACCTCTGTTATGTTAATTTTGATTAATTTCCCTGAAGAAGTTCGGACCAGATTGCCGAACGAAACGTTGGAATTACTCATTTCAATCTCGCTGAGATTTTACAAATATAATTTTTTACAAATTGATTTGAGGTTGTCCCTAGTTATTTATTTCGTAGAAATGGATAAATTATCCAGTAATTTACCAACATATAGGTGCGTAGGTGGCAAGTATCAGCAATGTCCTTGTCTAATAAAAGTAATCAATATCCTTGACTATTGGTTCGAGTTATGTTTGGAGGTCTATTTGAGGTTGTCAAGACGCCAGGAACCAATGACTTCATACTATTGGTAAAATGACTCAAAATCGACCTCAATGGTGCAGATGCATTCACTGTTTATAATATCTTTATATTCATTAAATTCTAATGATTCCCCATGTTATGATTCATTCTCCTTTGAATATATATTTTTTTATTTTTTACTATCTTTGTGGTGTATGTGGAGTTCTACGTTGACAACAACAATCAGCCAGGTAATTCTTGAGGTTGTTGGTTAGATTTTCTATGTTGTTAAGAAATTAAAAGGTTCACGATTGCGCTACAGTTCTAATTGATGATAGTAGATGAAAAGTAGTCGACGAATGCCTATAGTTCCGAGGTTTCCTGTCTACTGGTACTCATCAGCCGGAAGTACTCGTATTCTCTTCCAATCTTGTGTCTTCTTATAGATGCACGCGTAGGTGGTGATTCAAAGGTAGAATGCTGGCTAATCACGTCTCCTGTGGTCCGGATTTCGACACTCGGCCGACGTACTTCTAAATCCCGCTAAGTTGACAGTAAAGTTGGCAAAGAGGGAAGATTGGCTGAGGAGCTACCAACCCTATTCTGTAAAAATAAACATCACTGCTACTGAAACTTCAAAGCTGCACTTTGACGCCCTATGTTCCACTGGGAACTCAGATGAATAGAATAAATAACAGATACAAGGCAGTGATACTCCATTATAGATAAGATTTTATTTTAATAAATACCGGAGATATGGAAGATATTATTACCACCAGTCAAATCAGAGGAGAATAATAAATTATCTTAAAATTCTATTTCAATTCAATTCACGTACATCATAACATTCTAACAAGTTACTTATTTATTTTGACTATAAAACACTCGTCTTATTTCCCATCTGATTGTAGTTGATTGATATCACTCATATTATTATTTCCGAATGTAGTTTATCTTATATTACTGATTTCATTCAAATGTCTAATCATCGATTTTACTCATGTATATAAATGAAGCAAAAAGTTGTGTGATTGACTTGATATGATTATGAGCGTCAACAGTTTGTGCTCGAAACGTGGTCATCAGTTAATATTACTGCAGAACACTGTGTGATTTATCAAAATAAAATCTTATCTATAATGGAGTTATACTCTACCACAGTGCCCAAGCTTTATACTTACAAGCCAGTGTTATTAATTTCTGTATTTAATAGGCGTTACGGACCATTTGTTCCAGTCAGTTTTTATCACTGCTTGAAGTGTACTCACTCTCTGAGTATACCATCGTGTTCGATGCTGTTTTTCTTTCGTCACTATGTTTCCCCTTTTATCTGAATGCATCTTATTGATCAATGAGTAGCATTCATAATTTGTTAAGCATACTCATACTGTTTTGGCAATATGTGCAACTCGTCAGTAATAATAATAATAATAATCTACTTTATTCCAAAAACAGTACTTATAACACAGAATGGAATTCGCAGCATTTGTCACAATACTTGCATCTGATTTACTCAAAATGTAAATAAAATTAAAAATTGAAACAAAATTAACCAGAGGAATTTGTCCACATTTACGGTATAAAGTCAAAAATATTCGAAGTACAAAATGAGAACATTGAATACAATAATAATAATATTAATAATAATAATAACAGTGAGTTTGTTTCAAACAGTATTGTCGATTCAGTTTGGAAATTTTAGCATGTTATAGAGGCATTGAGTCTAATGTTCTGTTGATATAGTATAGTGAGGGGAGAGGTTAAATTAACAGTTATAACACAGCTTAAATGATGATTCACATTTATGAAAAAAATAAATAAAAATAAAAAATTGAGAGGAATATAAAACTAAGAAAACAATAACAATAAAGCTTGATGTTATAAGAGTGGAGAAAATGGTTTATTTAGTGGTGCTAAGAAGGTTAGTTAGTTCATATCTGACACTATTTTCATCACATAAAGTACGTGCTAAATATGGTATAGTGGAATTTTTATACTTAGACGTACGTGCATAAATTCTTCTGAAAAGACTTCTTGTTTTACCTGAGGAGACACAAGGTTGGAGCTGCGGGTAGAGTGAGTGCTCAGAGTCTGACCAAATTCCTTTAGCGAAATTGTTGCATGACATCAAGTGCCTATCAGTGACAACGTCAATGATATGGCCCAATGGGATACCACTCGTCCTACTGACAGTCTTCAGAGTTCTACGAAGTATGAAATAGTCCTTTTTAAGCAATCCAGGAAAGAATAAAAGTGAACAGTAAAGAAGAATAGGTAAAATACACGAGTTGATAAACTGTAAGAGGAGTGGTTGAGTTATACCTGAGTAAGCAGCACATACGACTATATAAACATTCTAATTCTCATTAGAAAGAGTGATTCAAGGCTATGAAGATAGCACATTGTTTGTTTGCCTTCCATTTTATCACTTAACTCTGTTTTTTTCATATCATAGATTTGTTTTCACCAACAGTTGATCATAATAAACACAGTGCATGCTGAAGCCAGATTACACTTTATTTGTCTTTAGTTGTGTTTCTCTGTAGAAAATGACACGTGTGTGTGTATGTGTGTGTGTGTGTAAAATGAGAAGTAATCCACAAATCCTTCTCACCCTGTAATTTTGCTGTTGGAAAGTAATTTCTTTCTTCATAGCACTAATCTCCTGTCCATATTCGTGACATACTTCTTTATTGATTAGACTGTGTTGCGTTGCCTTGTTTTTGCCGGAATGATGTTTACGCAGTGAAGTGCTTATGTGAATTGACAGAGAGAAGAGCGAGAGTGATCTGAATTTGAACAGGATTTTGAATTTTAGAAGCTAAATGAGTTTTAACTTCATTACATTCGCTTTCAAGCTTTTTCAAATATTTTGATTCGTTGCACTTTCCGGTGGGTCAGTGTTTGGACTAAAAATCCTTCTTAAGTGGTAGTGTGTGGTGAATTTCAGCGAACAGTTAGGTATCACTCATCCAATCAAACAAACTCCTTCTCTGTCGAATAGTCTGTATCACACTGGCTTTGAGCAAATAGTTCTCCAAGTGATAGGAAGTAACGCAGTCACTAGTCATCTTTTCATTAAAATGTCTTGTAACAATAGGTAACTGTAAATTGGAGCTCCAAACAAGTATATTATGTTTAAAAACTACTACTACTACTACTGTAACGACAGAAGACAAGACCCAGGCAACAGATAGTTGATTCAGAAAATCAAAATATATTATTCGTTATTGTTAGCGGAGAAGCAACGTCTTCTGATTGACTGTTTTCTTGCTGAAGGTTATTCTGTGCTGTTTGTGACAGTTTCTTAGAAAGTTAAGCCATATACCTGCGAATCATATTTGCACACGTTAAGTCTCCCGTGATTGGTTGTTGAGCTCCTCAAGGTTAGGCTTTGTTATTGTTTTTTCTCATGACCCCGATTTGGGACGCAAACATTGACGTAGATTGTTGTCTACAACTTTGGCTTGCAGACAGCTCTCACCACACTACTATGTTCCTTTACGTTCCCAGTGGAACATAAAGCTTCAAACTGGAGCTGTAAAGTTTCAGTAGCAGTTATGTTCAACCTTCTCTCTTTACCGGCCTTATAACCGGCTTAGCGAAGTAAAGGATTGCTTCGGCCGGTGATTGCACCCCGGACTACATGCGTGGTTGGTGAGCATTCTACCGCTGAGCTACTGACGCGGATGTTTAAAAAATGTCCTGTCTAATTTCGTGATGCCTGATGTCCACTGGTAACGTTCGCAATGTATGATTGATGCACAGTGTTACATACAGTAGAATCGTGTTAGAAAGTCATTTTAATGAATACATATGGAACTAGACGTTTTCACTATATTAGTTTTCATTGCATGGTTTATCACAGTACCCAAGTTCTCTTAAAACTTCATTAGCAATGCTCTAGTCACGAAAGCAATGAGAATAATGCTCATGTTAGAGGAGAAGTTTACTTTTACCGAACAACAGTGAGGTGAATGTCTGTAATCCCATATTAATTTGTTTATTAGATGGATATATCACTCACAGTGAAACAGCACTGCTTACTGGATGGCACTTCGAACACAATCTTTCATTGTTTATAATCATGTCAACAATTATTACTACACATCTTCGAAACTTTCGTTTTATATAGTTTTCTTTATTCCTGCTTATTCATCGTAGACAGGAGGGTGGTAGAACTTTCCAGATGTCCGATTGGACAGGTGTTCAATCACTCCTATTGCACGTATTTTCATTCAGTTGATTCTATGGTGAATGAAGCTTTCGTTGTTATCAATATCTCCCCCTCCATCACCCCGTTATGTTAGATTTTACAAGTGTCACCTAATCCCATGCTATTTATTGTATGGTGTGTGTGTGTGTGTGTAATTGCATGTAGTGCTATCATCTGTGGCTGAAGTATTCTCCAGATTTCTTATCTCATTAGGGTCGCCTAATCTAGATTCTGTTAGGTTTTTGTGTCCCACCAGTCTGACTGACCCCATCTTACTACGTTCAGTAATGTGTTTGACTAGACAACGAATGCAGGCGGTTTTTTAGATAATCGGTTCCAAATGAGGGATCCTTTAACCGACAAAGTGTCTTTGTGATTGAGTTTGTGAGTGGTTTGTATTCCAGCCACATTTATTCCTGCATTGTTAGGAATTCTCTGTAAGGTTTCCGAGATCCCTTCTTCTTATGGGAGTACTTCTGATGATGAAACGACGTCTAGTAAATAATAATGCTGTTTCACTGTGTGATAAATACAATAAACAAAAAGTGATATGAAATTAAAGCCATGGATTTCAATCAAGTTATATAGAAGATGCAGTCTCTCGTTAGCACTTTTAACTAACAGGAGTGTGTTACTGGCCTACTTCAGACTGACTGAAAAGTGTCTTGAAAGAACTAATGTCGCCTCTAAAACTCGAGCCCGCATCATTTCGTTCTGCAGTCAACGTTGCAGACACGTTTTTCTCACTGACTGGTGAGTGTCGACTAGCACGAAACTTAGGTGAAGCAAGACTTCCTGCAACCGATTGCCTCCAACCATCTAATATCAACAATTCACAGTGCAGTGTATCGAGATGTCGAGTCACCTAGTGGCATGATGACCACATTGGAAACTTGACTGACAGAATTGAGTCTGCGCTGAAGAGAGGACTAGAGACACGTTACACTAGTTTCTGACTAGTGTCCAACTGAAATACTCCAATATTCTACACTGTTTCCTCCCTTAGTGCCGTCAGAAAATTTCGTAGGATGAAGTCTAAAGCCAATTGGGAAATATGTCTGAGTAGACATAATTGTATGATTAATACGAAATAAAGTGGAGTAAACACGCTGTATGTGGGTGGATAGAAGTTTTAGTCAGTCAGGGAGTTGAGGCAGGTTGTCAAGAGGTAGGATATAACAAATTTTCGATGCTGATGATATGTCTACCGACCGACACACCACTCAGTTATTGATATATGTGCACAGAATCAACTTTGAAAGGCAAGTTTTACAGGAGTCCAAGGTTGTGTTTTTCTTGATTTTGATTAACCAGTGATTAAAGAGATAAAATCTATATACATTCTTTTTTGCGGAATTCCAACCCAGTAGCTTTAAGTCTTGCGTTATTCTTTGTTGTTCTCCGTATTTGTTTTGCACATGTAGCCTAATTCAAACTGATAATTACTTACTTTTAAATTAATGTTTAAATATCATTTAGTTTGGAACAATTTTTGTCATTATTTCGTGAATGTTATGTAATCAAATTGCTTTATCTTGTTTTACACCCACATACACATGTGGGTTTGTTTGATGTGTATCAATCACCGTTACATTGTTCATTGTTGAAATAAGTTATCTACTGGTTTTTATTAAAGGTCAAAGGTTATTTATTCCATAAATTAAATAAGTTTATCTTAAGCATCACACAGTGATAGGGTATTAACAATTGGATGACAAGGTTTTTGTGCATAAATTATTGCTGCACAGAGTCTTATCAGTGTTAGTTAAACAGCTTCACAATTTGTCTTATAGATATTTTCTCTCTTACTGTCTATGTTGTTTGTTGCCACTTTCCATATATCCGTTGTACAATTCAAAGCCTCTTAAGTATTGTCGTATAAAGAAGGAATGTCAGAGGCCTTACGTAGAACTGTCAATGAGGCTGGAATTAGGGTAGTATTTAAACGAAACCGCCTCTCTCAGAGATAAACTTTGTCGACTTTAGGACCCGGTAGGTTCAATTAAGGAAAATAATATAATTTACTAGGTACTATGTGACGACTGTGAGTGAGGTCAATTACATAGGCCGTCACACTAGTAGTGGATCGGGGTCAACTAGACTATTGGAACGTAAAAATCTAGCTAGATCCAGAATCATTGACTCTGACCACGCGAGAAGTTTTGGTTCGATTCCCAGCCAATGCACTCCTCTTAAACGTTGCCTAATTTATTAGCTTATTGAGTAAGGCTGGATAATTAGGAAGATTGGGCGCGAGGCGAGTAACCCTAACCCCAATAAAGACAACATCATAGTTATCGAAAGCTTGAAGGCGCCTTATAGTTCCATTCAGAACATAAAGGAATGAAACTATAAATCTTCGCGACGTATTTCTGTACTGTGACAGTCGTTTACAAGTTGTTGTTTATTTTCGAAAGTGCCTTAACTTCATAGGGTCTTGCATTTTAAGTTTTAAGTTAATCTTATGTTATCTCACCAGGTTCTAAGTTTTATCGCCTTTTAAGGTAGCCTAATAAGATTGGAAACTGTTGATATTAGACAGTTGGAGGCAATCGATGACAGGAAGTCTTGCTTCACCTGGATTTCGTGCTAGCTGGCACTCACCAGTCAGTCAGCAAGGTGTATCTGCGACCTTGAAGGAACTGATGTCCCTCTTGAGATTCGAACCCGTGTCACCCAGTACTTCAGTCAGAGATGTTACCACTGAGGAGCTATTGGGGCTGGCAGTTGACCTCCTGTAGGGTTGATTGTATTGGATACTTTAATTGGACACAGGTTAGTAATTAGTGTAATGTATCGAGTTCCATCTTTGATGCAGACTGAATTCTCTCAGTCAAGTTTGCAATGTGGCCACCATGCTAGCACGAAACCCATTTGAAGTAAGGCTTCTTGTGGCCGATTGCCTCCAACCATCTAATATAAACAATTCATCGTGCATTGGATCGTGATCTTGAGCCACCTAGTGGCATGGTGGCTACATTGCAACCTTGGCTGACAGAATTCAGTCTGCATCCAAGAGGGGACTTGACACATTACACTAATTACTGACTTAGTGTCCAAATAAAAAGATTAGAGATTGAATTAAAGTTTTGGAAATCTTTTCTGTCTATAAAATATTTAAGTTTAAATGTTCAACTGCAAAGAACAAAATTCTCAAAATGAGTGTATGGATAATAAATAAATAAATAAGTATACTAGATAAGGCTGATTAGTAGAAATAATTCAAATGGGCTCACTGTCGAGTTACATGCAATTGCAACCGCCTCAACAAACTTAAAAAGATTTGAACTGTTTTCGTCTGTTAAATTATTCTAAATCCCTCGAGAACATTTGCTGTCTTATAAAGTGTCCTATAAGGTGCTTTGAGATTGAGAACTACTCAAACCATTCTATCCCTTTAGTGTGATGTCTCTTTTTTTCCTCTGGAACATGCACCAATGAATTCTTCGTTAATGGGATCAGATTGTTTGATTAGCTCAGCGTTTAAATATACTTGATAGACACACACGACACCAAGGAGGTGTTTTGAGAAGTCAAATCAAGACAATTATTATTATTGTCTCCTTTAGTTCCTAGAGGAATATAGGGCTTCAGCCGCACGTCTCCATTGCTTTCGGTTCTCCACTAACGTTTTCTTCACCTGGCTCTACCTCTGCCCACATGCTTTCATCTCCTCTTCTCATGACCTCCTCCTGCATGTCACCATCGAACTGACGACCGACTCGTCGCTTCCTGTTCTGGTTCTACTCGAGTGACAGTTTGGCGTGTGATGTTACTTGATGGTTTGTTTTCTCAGAGTATGGCCAATCCACCTCCATTTCTTCCTGCATATTCCTTCCACAATTGGTTCCTGTTGGGTTGGTTCGCTCCCAGAGATCCATCCCTGCTGCTAATCTTTTCTGGCCGGCCATCTCATCTTGAGTGAAGTATTGAGCGAAGACAGCTGTTGATGAAAGTCTGTAGTTTGTTCAAAGTGCCCTTCGTGGCGCGGCGTCAAGTCTCTGATTCGTATCGTCATACATTGGAGTTGAAAATCCAGATCTTATTTTTCATGCTGAGTGCTGTTGATCTCCACACAGACTTGAGAGTAATGAAAGCTTGCCTTGCTTTCCCGATGATCCTCGCTTCGATGATATCCTCATCAGTTCTGTCCGCCTGTAGTTGAAACGACGATGCTTTTCAGATAGGTAGGTAAGGGAGGATGTTGCTTCTTTCATATTCCTCCCATTTATGCTGGCTGATTGGTGTCTGGTGTGGTTCTTGTTGCTGTTGCTGCTGGCCAGGAATCTTCATCACCTCTGTTTTCTCTATGTTCATCTGAAGCGAAGTTCTATCTTTAACGCGTCATTTCAAGTCAAAGGTAACTCTAAATAAGCAAAAAGACCTTTCACTTGTTGACACATAAAAACACAACTGAATTCTAATCCTGTTTATGTATGCGGTATATTACATCTCCTATTTTATTATTATTTCTTCTTCCCCTTCTTTCCTAGTAATGTTAAACGTAAAGGTTTAAAAGTGGTGAAAGACTTCAGTGAAGATGATGATGTCCGTCAACAGAAGTCTGTGAAAACACCTTACATTGAAGTGGAATCATTCAACCGTCTATTGAATTTTAATGGATGTACTAAAGAATTATATAATGATAATAATACTGGAGATATTACTACTACTACCAATAGTAATAATAATAATGGCGCGGAAGACAAAAATAAAGAATTGTTAACTAAATTAAATTTACCAAGTCTTCCAGGCGATAAAATACCAGATTTTGAATGTTTCGCTTTTGATATTTCTGTAAGTTATGCTTTTATTATTTGTGGGTGTGTATGTATGTGTATGTTTTTACTTTCATTGGAGACTAGTCACTAGCGTGATGTTTATAGAGCAGACTGAATTCTATCAGTCAGTCAGTCAGGTTTGAAATGTGGCCACTATGTCACACCAGTTGGCTCCCCATCACGGTGCACTTTGAATTGTTGGTGTTAGATGGTGTTGAAGGCAATCGGCCACAGGAAGCCTTACTTCACCTAGGTTTCTTGCTAGTCGGCACTCACCACTCAGTCAGTCAGCAAGGCGTATCTGCGACCTTGAAAGAACTCATGTCCCTCTTGAGATTCGAACCCGCGTTACCCAGTACTTCAGTCAGAGAGGTGAGAGGTTACCTGTGAGGAGCTATTCAGACTGGCAATTGACCTCCTGTAAGACTGACTGTATTAGATACTTTAATTGGACGCTAGTCAGTAATTAGTGTGATGTGTCTAGTCCTTTGTTTAGTGCAGTGCGTGTTTGTTTTTTTATGTATCTCTCTTTCGTTCGTGCTCAGGCACACACACACACATTTAAATAAATCATCTGCGTGTATTTACTTTATGTCCAAAAAGGGATTTGACGTTAACACTTCCTTCCTTCTTTCTTCACTGGAATTCATCGTACCTATATAGATTTTAAAGTATACTTTAGCATCTAAAGTATTCTGTATCATATGGCTGTGGTCTGCTTGAATCACTGGGCTCTCTCTATCTCTGTGTCTGAATTGTCATATGACAGCAATGCAGTATATACTCTCTTTGAATCATATTGTTTTATCCATTCACAGTTATGTTTTTGAGTCGTAAAGTGTGTATGTATGGGACTCGTCATCGGTAGCACAATATATCGTGAATTCGCAGAAGTTGGAATTCATGGGTTGATCATTGGACTGGTGGGTCCCAGTGGCTGTTTAATGGTCTACGAGGTCGCTTTGTAACCAGAAGGCCCTGGGTTCCGAACCCTTAGTGGTGATTGTGTACTGCTAGAGTCCTAAGCACTAGGACGAAGGCCCCCTGTTGGGTTCCCAATGGTTCTCCAACTGACGTCAGCTCATGGTGAAATCCTGTAAGCTAACAGATTATGTGGCGCTGACTAATTACTGGGCTATGAATGGCATATATAGATTTGGCTACAATAAAGAATAGACACCAAAGTCGAGTGACCTTGAACCAATCACTCAGATCGCTCAGAATTACAAACGGATACTTTTCATAATCTTCGCTGCAAGGGTTATGCCTTAGAATAGGTTTATGGTTAAGGTTTGAATGAAGCTTACGCCAAAGATTAGATTATGAAAAGCCTCCATTTATAATGCTGAGCGATCTGATTGGTTAGTTCAAGGTCATCTATATAATCAGGCTCTAAATAACCACTATACTTTCTTAATTAAATGATAAACCTCGAGTAACTCAGTTTTTCTGTTTGACCGTGCTCTAAATATTATAATAATAATAATAATTTGCTTTATTCCAAAACAGTACTTGTGATACAGAATGGAATTCTCAGCATTTTTACTACAGTATTGCGTGTGTTTAGTGTTGTCTGGTCGTTGCATTCCATCATTTATATTCTGTTCACATTGTAACAAGCCTATATATGTGACCCTGTCATATGTATGTAGCTATAGTGAGAGAGAGAGATGAAATATATTTAATAAGTAAACAAAAAGGAGTATGTGAACTCTGTGTGTGTCTGTTGCTCTCCATTTCAACATACAGTACAAGTAGGTTAACGGAAATCTGTAGATAAAATACGATGACAGAGATAAACAGAGAAATATATACAAGAGATGAGTGCACTAATTCAATCTATACAATTCAATCTATACAATACAATACAATATACTAAGAGAACAAAACAGGAGACATGAAAATGCGTAGAAAATTGATTAAGGCCAGTGATTAATAAATCAGTCATTAAATTTTCAAGATTTAGTTTTTTAAGGATTAAATTTGTTTTTACGAGTTTGACCACCCGATTGATATCAGTTAGAGAACCATTGCAAACCAGCCACACGGCATACTCTGGACAGCTGTTTCATCCCACTAGTTTGGGAATCGTTGGCAGTACGCACAAATTATTTAATCCTTACAAACCAACCGTTGAAAATCAATCTGATGCTCGCTATTGATTGAGTGACTGGCTACAGTATGGAGTTTCCTGCAGTGAGTTCTAGTGAGAAGTCATGACCCCAGTGATGTCCAACCAGTCAAGTGTGGGGATTGGTTGGTTAGTGGTCGCGCTAAATCACAAATTGTTAGAAGTTAGAATTCATGGTCTGGCTGGCCATTGAATCGGGTCCCAGTGGCTGAATGGTATACGAGGTAGCTTGCCTTGTAACCGGAAGGTCGTGGGTTTGAGGCCTGGCTGACAGTGGGTGCGTACTGTTGATGATTCCCAAACTAGTGGGATGAAACAGCTGTCCAGTACGCCGTGTGGCTGGTTTTCAATGGTTCTCTAACTGATATCAATCTGTGATCAAACTCGTAAAAACAAATCAATAAACAATGAATAGATAAGTTAAAGGCGCAGATAAACAAAATAAAGAGATTGGTAAAAACATTGAATGTTTGATCAGAGGTTATTATAAACTTTAGATAATACAATTGTGAACACAGCTTAAATCGATCAGTCTCTCCGTGCCCCCCTTTTTATCTTTTCTGTTGGTAATCATGATAGGTACACTGACAAAGAGAGGTGGGTAATGACTCATCGACTCACTCACACACACACACTCTCTCTCTCTGTTCCACTATAGAGTAAATTGATTTGACCTAAGCCATATAACTATACAGCATTATTTACTGATGACCTTTTGAGCACAATTCATGGGTCATGAATTCCCAACTTCATCTATGCAATTCGATTATTTCTCACCTCTTAATTTGATTGGTAGTCATATTTTCCATATATCTGGTATTGGTGTTGAGTCATTCTTATTACACATGTTAGGTATTGTTTATTTTATTCCTTTGAGCTTCAAACTAGAGCTTTGGAGTTTCGCTGGCACTGGTGTTTTTTACGGGGTAGGGTTGCTCACGCCCTCACGCCCATCCTTCCCTTTTCGTTGAATTTACCGTCGGCCGTAGATTGAACCTCGGACTACGTGAGACATGCTTGACGAGTATTCTGCCTCTGAACCACAGACGTACAGACATTATCAGGGCGAGACTCATGTATATGGCATACAGCCTTCTTCAAATCTTACACACAACCATTAGATCGCCTACTATCCTTCCACCCTTTGAAGATCTGGCAACAAAAGTCACGAGAACACCATCAGAGGATGTGACAGGCGAGTTGCTACCGTTATGTTAGGTATAGGCTCGACGAATAAAGACTCAGTAATCAACTTCTCCCTCCACCTGCCTATATTACTTTTTAGGATTGTAGCTCTATGCCAACTTGTTGTGTTAATGCATGCATTGCAAGTGCTGAGTTTTTTTCTCTAAATTATTCGTCTTCATTGGGTCAGTCAGTCATTCTACACTACCCTTGATCTACTCGGTCTAATCTATGTAGTTGACTTAACTCACAGTCATTGCCTAGTATTTTGTAGGGTTACATTATTTTCGTCTAATTCCATTAACAGGATCCTTTAACCTCCAGACCTCGTCTATTAGTGATTTCTTAGGTTTAAATGCCACCTTAATTCCTGTTTCATTTAAAAAGTAGGGTTTTAGGTATCTCTTCTTTATGTGGTAAAACTGTGGACGTTGTGTAGTTCGATCTAAAGTAAAGAATCAAGTTCAAAGCCTAATTTAAAAATGTGAACGAGTTCATGTAGAGACATCCAAAGACATAATTGAAGGGTTAAAAAGAGAAATGAGGCATAGAGAGAAAGTTTATGCATTGTACTGAATAGTAATTAAGGTAGCCCAGTGATTTAAACCAAGCTTTCAGCAAAAAACATTTCAATAATGTAATCTAATGTTTTTGGTTCTATGCTTCGTCGTAAGTTTATGAAATGTTCGTATTTAATTAAATTTTAAAAATAATTTGAATTGTACTATTTAACTGTATTAGCAATGAAATAAAATAACAGGATTTCATCATGAGCTGACATCGGTTAGAGAACCGTCTGAAAACCAGCATCGAATTACTGGACAACTGTTTTATCTTAGTTTGGGACTCTTCAACAGCAGTACACACTCACCGCCAGGGTTCGAACCTAAGACCTTCAGACCACAAAACGAGCTCGTAGACCATTAAACAGCCAGTGGGACCCGATCCAGTGGTGAGTCGATGAACTCAAACTTCTGCCCATTCATGATGCAACATGACCATTAGCCAATGTCAATCATCAACGAATATTCATCCTCATGCCCAACCTACTGTATCCCATTGATCACGACTTCCCACTAGAACCGCTAGGTAACTACCTACCTGAATAGCGCCAGTCACCAGTGAGCATCCAATAGATATTCTAGTACTGGTTTGCAAGGATTCAACTCGATTAGTTACAGGATTTTCATCATGAGTGGACATTGGTTAGAAAAACATTGGGACCATTGCGTTTTAACCTGAAGGCCCTGACGGTGGGTGAGTCTGACAAAGGATCCCCCCAAGCACTAGGACGAACTCAACTGGCTGTTCAGTGCTCCCTGGTGGTTTTCCAATGGGGTTTACCAACCGATGTCACTTCATGATGAAATCCTGTAACCAATCAAATCAAATCCCCTCTGCAAACCAACACTTGAAGTACAAAATTAATTTTAGGATTCAATGTCGTTATTATTTAGCACATTGCTAACACTGATTTGATATTGCATTGAAGTACGTAAAAAGAAAATTGAGTTAGACACTGAGAGAAATAGAGGGGGAGGAAGAGAGAGAGAGATAGAGTACACTAATATGTTATGTTTGGACATCTGGGAAAGTGCCATTTCCCTTTTACATTTACATCAAATTGTTTATTTTTTTAATTTCATTCATTAACACTAATATTTCACTAATTCTAACACTTGATTCGCATTAATTCATAT